CCCCCCCCCCCCCCGCCCGGGGGTATATTCTGAGCTGCATCTTAGTCGACCTTTCAAGATGCAGTCGCCATCACTTGCATAAAATTTTTTCCAAAACATGGCGAAGGAATCGGTTTAATGCGGCTCGCCGACTCTGAAATCGGTGGCGTAAACACCCCCCCCCCCTTCCCCCTAAGGCAAAATTGTTCAGTTTTTGAGTTCGGATGGTCTTTAGCCTATTCAGAGGATACAATAGACTCAAGAAATCATCAATGAATCTTATAGGCGACCAATAAACCCCGGTGTCAAAACTACCAATTATATGCCGAATTGGCAACTTTGACCCCCAAAATGTGAGGTAAAACTTCGAGATAGGAAGAAACGTCCATTGACACTTTTGATCAGTAGGTTAAGACCTACAACATATCAAAACACCAGCCGATTTAACCGGGCCCACTTTACCCATAAGACCGGTCTGTCGTCCTTTGGCGCAATGATGACTTCTGATCAGCATCCATAGACGAGTTTAATGCAATACAAAAATTGGAAATTGAACGGGGCACACATTCCCGTGAGGTGGATGTAAGGTCATTGAAAATTACATTTGTGTTTCTTATCATGCAACAGTTATTCGAAAAAGCCCGTTTTTCAAAGAAATCCTTTCGTGTTGGCAAAAAACGGATAACGATATTTAATTCATTCCAGAAAAATCCCATATGAGATACCATCTCAGATCCTTGTCTTATTTACACTGTGAATTACCTGGGCAAGACCGATTAGAGGCCTGCCCATTTAAAATTTCTCATGAAGTAGAGCCAACCCCTCCAAAATTTTTGGCTCATTCTTAAAAGAAAGAGAGGATTAAAGATTCAAAAGTCCCGAAGAGAGAAGACACAACTCTATCACGTATAGAGTGATATTAATGTCGGCACTTACTTTTTGCGTAAACGAGGGATGTTGATAGTATCTAATAGACCTTTCCCAGCATAATCATTACAAGAGATGGATATTAAAACCTTCAGCCTAGGATTCCACCTCTTTAGTTCAATTACCTGAGAGTAGACCTTAAAACAAACATTAAAGTTTACTTTTAAACTATGATAAATTCCTGATTTATAAATTACAGCAAATTTAGTACATAAGGTGTCCCATACGTCCGTACCCCCCCCCCTTCGTAACTTTTGAACGGTTGAAGATAGAAAAACGAAACTTTGGGAATGTTTCCATCTTAAAAAGGGACCATCTTTTAGAGGGGTCAAAATTTTTGTCCCTCCCTCAGGAGGGGGCAGGGGGCCCCTCAACTTTTTTTTCAACCCTTATCTTGTGATACATCGTTAGAAAGAACGTAAAAAACTAAGAATTTCGGCGCAAACCGCAGATCAATATCTCGATCTTTGACCGAGTTATGATAAGTCAAAGGTCAAATTTGATAAAATCATGAGCACACCGTGTCACGCTGAGGGTGTCACGCTAATTAGTAACGCTTGGTTTCTCCTCCACTTCCCGCTCCCCTCCCGCCGCGCACGGTCACATGCCTCCCGCCGTCTCCAAACCGGGTTTTCCCTAACTCTTAATGATCTTTTAACGATCTCACGATATCTGCTTATTAGAGGCGCGAAGCGCCTCTAGGGGGTTGGACCGCGGAGCGGTCAGGGGGCGCAGCCCCCTAGTTTTCAAAAAAATCATAACTCCGGCTCAAATTATCGTAAAGAAAAAAATAAAACGGGAAAATTCTCCAAATTATAAGCACTTTTAAGTAAAATTCACAGAAATTAATTCAAACTAACTTTAAGGGGAGGGGGGGGGGTTCGGACCCCAAATACGTCAGTTTAAAGGTAATACGATTTTCCTACGTTTTGAGCCAATTTCCCTTGACTTTGCCTCAGCATCATCTTGGTAAGATCAAAATTAGTTCAACATTGCGTTTTCAAGTCCCCAAATTTCGGGCAAAGTTTAAAGAAAAAAAAAACGAAATTTAAGCAGTAGAATTGAAACGCATTAAATTAAGTTTTTTGAACTTTGCCCAAAATTTGGGGACTTGAAAACGCAATGTTGAACTAATTTTGTACTTACCAAGATAATGTTGAGGCAAAGTCAAGGGGAATCGGCTCAAATCGCGGGAAAATCGTATGACCTTTAAACCGACGTATTTGGGGTCAGAACCCCCCCCCCCCTTAAAATTAGTTTGAAGTAGTTTCGGTGAATTTTACTTAAAAGTGCTTATGATTTGGAGAATTTTCCAGTTTCATTTTTTCTTTACGATAATTTGAGCCGGAGTTATGATTTTCTGAAAATCGGTAAAATTTGACCTTTGACCTGTCATAACTCGGTCAAAAATCGACATATGGATCTGCGGTTTGCGAAAAATTCTCAGCTTTTTATGTTCTTTCTAATGATGTATCACAAGATAGGGGTTACCATTTGAAAAAAAAAAGTTGGGGGCCCCCCGCCCCCCCTGCGGGAGGGACAAAAATGTTGACCCCTCTAAAAGATAGTCCCCTTTTAAGATGGAAACATTCCTAAAGTTTCGTTTTTCTACCTCTAACCGTTCATAAGTTACGAGGGGGGGGGGGTACGGACTTTTGGGACACCCTGTATAACCTACTGTGAGCTGTAACCACCGAAATAAATTTCCGCTTTTGAAAAATTACATTTTTCTGAGTTATTACAAAAGGAAAACGAGCTTACTTCATATCTGTTTTGCAGCCCAGAAATACTTTGCGACTAAAAAGCAATTTGCACAATATTATCAGCAGCATTATTTGTATTGAATGCGATTTACGCATAAGGAAGTCGAAGTTAAGTCTATCACGCTGCAGATCATTTCATATGAAACCTAGCATCATTCAATGAACCGAATTGGATTTAGAAGATGATTTTTATAGTTGGTTGCAGGCCAAATATTATTACAACGAATTTTGAAGAATGACCTCCGAGGGATCATTGTTAACCTCACCTTCAGTTTTGTTCCTATCCAATCCAGACCGTTCATTTTGAGGTGGAGCTCAAGTTGCCGATTAAGAAACAGTTTCGATGGACATTCCACGGTCTTGTATATGAGAGTAAAAATGTGAGAGTGAGTTTTAAACTGCCAAAGCCTTATCTTCTGGGTGTGGCCAGCTTTAATAGTGACTTTGTCTAACCGTCTTTGTCCTCTTCTCAACCCATCACGTAAATACACCGATATTTTTTTTCAGTGTAGATCAGAGAGGTCAGTTGGTCTGGTATGGACATGTGCGAAGGATGGCAGACGACCGGTTGCCCAAGCAGGTCTTTGATTGGGTTCCTCCCGGAAGGCGACGGCGTGGACGTGATCACCTTATTGCATGATAGATCTCCTTCGCCTCAAAAATTTTTCTTCTTGTGAAGAGATTAATATTTGACAATTAAATAACTATTTTTTCATGACTGTCTTTCTTTTGGTGACGAATTATAAAAAATTATTTCTTCTAGTTCTGCAATATTTGTTGTACTGCCCTTTACGTGATACCAGCCAAGAGTTTACTGCATTGTAAATAATTGCTCTTTTACTTTGGGGAATTTCGTCTAGGCACCTTCCTCTTTTCAGGCTATGTAGGTTTCCGTATTTCTATCCACTGCTTTCTCCACTGAAAAGTACCATTATCCCCCCCCCCCTCGGATTGCAACTGGTACCATCCAGCCATCCCTTGGTCCCTGGTCCAGTATGGTGCCATCAGGCTTGAGCACCACTAAATTTCTGAGAACGCAAACCACCCTCGGGCAAAACAGACATGCGCACGCGCAACTGCACTCCTACAATGAGCATCATGCGGTATGACTTGTATATCAGGCTGTATCGAATGAGCTGGAGGCGCATCTTTACCCTACTTTAACCCCCTAGCTGTCTTACCTCTTTTGCCTAAATTCGGGTCTAGTGCGCGGTATAGACTGTGTTTTTATAAGTCTATGGGAAGAACACTTGGTTGCTTCGCAACTTTACTACCAGAAAAAATCACGTGTTCCAGAGCACCCGTCCACTATCTTTTTCTCCGAAACTATTGAAAATTGATACTCGGGACGAAAACTTTATCAGGCAAATCGACCTCCAAGAATTCTAGGAAAATATTTTCGGCCCCCAAAATCCCATGAGGGGGAGGGTTAGGCGGGGTGCCCCCGTTTCACGTATGATCAAATAGGAAGGGTATGTTTTGACATCAGATTTAAAAACTATGGCCAAATATAGGAACTTACCATCCCATCCCACCTATAATATCCCACCTATAATAGTTACCCGACCTGTGTCGTCAATTCTTTCGTTCACGATAACTATCGTTTGATTTACTTTAGCTGATTCAAATTTTGTAATTTTGTCCATTTTGGTCTTATGAAGAACTCTATAGATTTTCGGTTAAATCGCATTTACCGTTTACTTATAAACGGTAATTAACGTAAGTGCCCTACTTACGCTGTTTTCCACTAAACTGTTTTTATGAAAGTTCCATTCCGTGGTTTCCTTGGTAACCTTTGTTTGCTATCAGCTGATGTCAGCTCTAATTTTTTTGCCAGCATTTATTCTAACTCCCCCCCTCCCGCTCCCAGCTCATTTTTCTAACTCCCGCAGCCCCCCCACCACCCCTAACTCATTTTATTTATATTTTTTTTTCTTATGACATGCCTTGCTCCCCTACCACAATTTTTTGGGGGTTTCATTCATAGGGATAAAATATTGTATTGTAAATAGATCTTCGATATATCGTTCGATATAAAGCAGGATAGACAAGGATAAGACGGAATTTATTGATCTTCACCGGGATAAAAGGTAGGAATTTTAAGAAAAGGGGAATGACCAGTAAGAAACGGGGTAGATAAGAACTAAACAGGATAGATAGTGATAAAACAGGGTAATGTTTATCGATCTTTGATATATCGTACGAAATAAAATATGATAGACATGGATAATATGGGATGCATTGATATTAATTGGGTTACATGGAGGAAGTTTGAGAACAGAGGAATAATCATTGTGTAACCATAAAGATAAGGATAAAACAGGATTGGTAGGGTTATCCCACCCTCAGTCAGTCATCTTTGTTTATCGATCTTTGATATATTGTCCGATATGAAACAGGATGGGAAAGTGGCATAATCAATTTGAAACGGGATAGATAGAATAAATCAGGATAGATATGGGTAAAATAGGATATAGATAGGGATAAAACGGGATGTATTGATATTAACCGGGATAAAAGGGATGTTGGTCGTGTTTGAAGTTTTTGCAGTGTTTGTTGTGTTTGATGTGTTTGTTGTGTTTAATATGTTTGCTGTGTTTGTTGTGTTTGATGTGTTTAATGCGTTTGTTGAGTTTAATGCATTTGTTCTGTTTGATTTGTTGGTTGTGTTTCGTGTGTTTGATGTTTGATGTGTTTTTGTCGAGTTTGATGTGTTTGATGCGCCTGTTATGTTTAATGTGTTTGTTGCGTTTGATATGTTTGTTGTGTTGGATGTGCCTGTTGTGTTTGATGTGTTCGTTTTGTTTCCACTCAACCCACCTATAATATTCTATCTTCAAGTATACAGGGTGTCCCAAAAGTCCCTTTCACCCCCTCTAAAATTGTACCTAATTAATCTTTTGAAACAAAACTTCGGGAATGTTCAAAGATCAATGTAAGCAAAGCTACTTTCAGGGCCCCCCAAATTTTTTGCCCCCCCCCCCCCCGCCTGGGAGGTGCGACGGGCTCCAACTTTTTTTTCAAACGGCAACATCCTCTTTGTGACACATTAATTCAAAGAGAAATAAAAAAGAAAATTTTTGGCGCAAACCGCAAGTCAAACTCTTGATTTTTGACAAACTGGCCGCCGGTCAAATTTCAAAATACCGTAAATTTACATCCCCGTTTTCGTCGATGGATTGGGATGAAACTTGGTTGTCAGCATTATTTTTCCGGAATATTTTTGTCCTTTTCAAAATAGCGGCGGTCAATATGGCGATCTTGAGCGGCAATCGATGAATTTGCATGAAAGTTGGTATCAGGGGGCATTTCGGGATGAGAAAGGCTTCGGGAATAACTTCAAAATGGCGAGGAAAATGGTGGAAAGTTGGTAT